TTCCACCACCTCGACCCACTGCCAACACCCTCCAAGCTCCAACACCCACACCCCTGCCAACATCCTTCCACCACCTCGACCCACTCCCCTGCCAACACCCTTCCAGCTAACACCCACACCCCTGCCAACACCTTCCAGCACTCGACCCACTCCCCTGACCCTTCCCAGCTCCAACACCCACACCCTGCCAACACCCTTCCACCACCTCGACCCATCCTGCCAACACCCTTCCAGCTCCAACACCCACCCCTGCCAACATCCTTCCCCACCTCGACCCACCCCCTGCCCACTCCCCTGCCAACACCCTTCCAGCCTCCAACACCACCCTGCCAACATCCTTCCACCACCTCGACCCACCCCCTTGCCAACTCCAACACCCACACCCCTGCCAACATCCTTCCACCACCTCCGACCCACCAACACCCTTCCAGCACCTCGACCCACTCCCCTGCCAACACCCTTCCAGCACCTCGACCCACTCCCCTGCCAACACCCTTCCACCTCCTGCCACACCTCCACTCACCCCACTCCCTGCCAACACTCCACCACCTCGACCCACTCCCTGCCAACACCCTTCCAGCACCTCGACCCACTCCCCTGCCAACACCCCTTCACCACCTCGACCCCTCCCCTGCCAAACACCCTTCCACCACCTCGACCCACTCCCTGCCAACACCCTTCACCACCTCGACCCACTCCCCTGCCCAACACCCCCCTCGCCTGACCCTTCACCACCTCGACCACTCCCCTGCCAACAACACCCTCCCCTCCACACTCACCACCTCGGACCCACTCCCCTGCCAAACACCCTTTCCAAGCACCTCGACCCACTCCCCTGACAACACCCTTCACCACCTCGACCACACTCCCCCTGCCAACACCCTTCGCAGCACCTCGACCCACTCCCCTGCCAACAATCCGCTTCCAACACCGCCTTCGACCACACTCCCGACCACACCTCCCCTGCCCAACACCCTTCCACCACCTCGAGACCCCACCCCTGCCAAGCAACACCTCGCACCTCTGCGACCCACTTCCCCCTGCCAACACCCCGAACCACTCCCCTGCCCCAACCACCACCAGCACCTCGACCCACTGCCCTCTTTCCACCCACCTCGCCTGCAACGACCCTTCGGCACCAGCACCTCGACCCACTCCCGCCAACAACGCTTCCAGCTTCGCAACACACACCCCTGCTATCATCCTTCAGCACCTCGACCCACTCCCCCTGCCAAACACCAGCACCTCGAACCAACTCCCCTTCCACACACCTGACCCACACCCCTAGCAAATACCCTGTCCAGCACCTCGACCCACACCCCTGCCAACACCCTATCCAGAAGCCTCGACCCTACTCCCCTGCCAACACCCTTCCAGCAACCGCCTCGAAACCAACTCCCCTGCCCAACACCGCTTCCCAGCACCTCGACCGCCGACCTCGCACTCCAACACCCTTCACCACCTCGACCCCACCCCCCTGCCAACACCCTCCAGCTCCAAACACCCACACCCCTGCCAACATCCTTCCACACCTCGACCACTCCCCTGCCAACACCCTTCCAGCTCACAACACCGTCACACCCCTGCCTAAAAACATCTCCTTCACACCACCATCGACCACACTCCCCTGCCAACAACCCTTCGCAGCTCCAACACCCACACCCCTGCAACATGCCTTCCAACCACCTCGACCCCACTCCCCTGCCAAACCAACCACTTCCAGCTCCAACACCCCACACCCCTGCCAACATCCTTCCACCACCTCGACCCACTCCCTGCCAAACACCCTTCCATACCAGCTCCAACACCCACACCCCTGCCAACATCCTTCACCACCAACCTAGACCCAGCTCCCCTGCCACAACCGCCTTCCAGCACCCACCCATCCCACTGCCACACCCTTACAGATCCAACACCACACACGCCTGCCAACATGCCTTCGACCCACTCCCCTGCCCACCTTCCACACCTTGATCCCCACTAACAACTTACGGTGTCACGCACCCTCCTCGCAACCCTCCTCCCTAAACCCCCTTTTCAACCTTCAGACGCGAGACCCATCATTGTCCTCCACCAATCTAACCTCGACCAACACCTTCCTCCTGCCCCCCCCCCCAAGCCGCCCGCTACCCTCCATCATACACCAAACCCTTTCCACCCCTAAATCCACCGCGCTAACCCTCCCCCCAATCTATCCTTCACCACCCCTACCTCCACTCCCGCCCACCTCCTACCCCATACCCTCCACCTCCTTTACGCCCCTAATCCCCTCCACCCCATCTACCCTCCACCACTCTTACCTCCACAACACCCCTCCACCCCTACCTCCACCACTTCTACCTCCACCAGCTCTACAACCCCTACCCCTCCACCCTCTACCCTCGCATCACTCCTACCGGTCCACCAACACCCCTCCACCCCTACCCTCATCACTCCTACCTCCACCCTACCTCCACGCAAACACCCTCCACCCCCTACCCTCCACTCACATCCTACCTCCACCCTACCTCCACCAACACCCCCTCACCACTCCTACCTCCACCAACACCCCTCACCACTCTAACCTACCCCTCCACCACTCCTAACCTCCACCAACACCCCCTCGCACCACTCCTACCCCCTCCAACCAACCACCCTCCACGCACTCCTACCATGTCCTCCACCCCCCTGCCTCCATCCCGTACCTTCCACCACTTCTACCCCCCCCCCCCCCGCAGCCTCCGAGGGGAAGCGAGCTCCGTTCATCACGCGAGAGGGAACTGCGCACGGCAAGGCATCACATGTTATTCCCCTCATCTTATCATGTCCGGGTGTCCTTTCCTTCTTTTATCTATTTATCCTTATTTATGTTCTTGTTTTTGTTTATTTTCTCGTTTGTTTCTTCGTCTTTCTTTTTTATTTTTGTTTCCTTTTATATTTCTTTATCTGGATTTTCCTGATATATATTTTTTCTGTTTTTTCCTTATATAGTTTTTTGGTCTTCCTTTTCATATGTTCTTATATATTTTTTTTTTCTTTTGTTCTTTGTATTTCTTTTTCTTTTGTTCTTATATATTCATTTTTCTTCTCATTTCGTTCTTATGTATTTCTTTTTAATTTGTTCTTATATATTTCTTATTTCTTCTTCTTATCTATCATCATTTTAAAATCATTATTATTATTTATCTATTTCGTTCCTTTCGTTTCTGAAGCTTGAATTGCAGGTTGAAGGTGGAAGATGAAGTGGAGAGAGAAAGAAAGGGAAAAAGGGCAAGTGAGAGAGGAGATAGACAGATCGACAGATAGATAGAGAGAGGCAGATAGATCGACAGATAGATAGAGAAGCAGATAGATCGACAGATAGATAGAGAGGCAGCTAGATAAACAGATAGAAAGAGAGACAGATAGAGAGGTAGATAGACAGACAGATAAACGGATAGATAGATGAGAAGATAGATAGATAGTCATATAGATGCAGAGATAGATAGAAAGAGACAGACAGACTGGTAGAGAGTTAGGTAGATAGACAGACAGACAGATAGACAGATTGCTTTAAAGAGATGGGTAGACAGAAAGAGAGAGAGGTGGGCAGATAAGGGATAGATTGATATACAAATATATAGATAGAGAGACAAAGATAAATAAATGGAGAGAGCGAGAGAGGGAGGGAGGGAGTAAGAGAGAAGAGAGAGAGAAAGTGGGAGACAAAGGCAGGGAATGAGAGACAGAGAGCAACCAAATGGAAAACAGCCACAAGAAAAAGAATACAAAAAAGAAAAAGAAAAAGAAAGAGAAGAAGAAGAAGGAGAAGGAAGAAGAACAAGAAGAAACAGAAGAACAAAACAACAACAACAACAATGATAATAATAATAATGATAATGATAATAATAACAATAATAATGATAATAATAATAAAACGAAATAGGAAAAAAACAACAATAATATTGATAATAATAAAAAAAAGAAGAAAAGGAAGAAAAATGAAGAGAAAAAGAAGAAGAACGAGAAGAAAAAGGAGAAGAAGAGGAGGAGAGTGTATTAGTACCGACAACGCGGAGGTAATTTGTGCGGTGTACTTCATCTCAATAAAGTTCATCCGTTACTTGGCATTTCCTTGAAAATTGTGTGCTTGTGGGAGGCATTTTGGCCGAAATTACAGGCCGCCTGTAAATTAATAATAACTACATCGTGTCTGCTTTGGAGGAGGAGGAGGAAGAAGAGGAAGAGGAGGAAGGGGAGGAAGGGAAGAGGAGGAAGGGGAGGAGGAGGAAAAGGAGGAGGAGAAAGAGGAGGAAGGGGAGGAAGGGAAGAGGACGAAAAGGAGGAGGAGGAAGGAAAAGGAGAGGGAGGAAGAGAAAGAGAAAAGAGGAAGAGAAGAGGAGGAGAGGAGAAGAGGAAAGAGGAGGAGGAGAGGAGAGGAAGGAGAGGAGGAGGAGGAGGAGGAGGAGGAGGAGGAGGAGGAGGAGGAGGAGAGGAGGGAGAGGAAAAGGAGGAGGAGGAAGAAGAGGAGGAGGAGGAGAAAGAGGAAGAGGAGGAGGAGGACGAAGAGAAAGAGGAGGAAGGGAAGAGGAGGAGGAGGAAAAGGAGGAGAGGAGGAGGAAGAAGAAGAGGAGAAAGAGAAGGAAGGGGAAGAGGGCGAAGAGGAGTGGAAAAGGAGGAGGAAGAGAAGGAGGAAAAGGAGGAAGAGGAGGAAGAAGAGGAGGAGGAGGAAGGGGAGGAAGGGAAAGAGTAGGAAGAGGAGGAGGAGGAGGAAGAGGGAGAGGAAGATTAGGAAGAGGAGGAAGAAGGGGAAGAAGAGGAAGGGAAAAAGAAGGAGAAGAAGGAGGACAATGAAAATGAACAAGAAGTGGAGGAGGAGGTCGAGTAGGAGGAGGAGGAGTAAGAAGAAAGAAAAAGAGGATGAGTAGGAGGGGAGTGTAGGAGGAGGAGGAGAAGGAGGAGGAGAAAAAGAAGGAGAAATAGAAGAAGAAGGAAAATGAAAAGGAACAAAAAGTGGAGGAGGAGGTAGAAGAAGAGGAGGACGAGGAGGAGGAGAAGGAGGAGAACGAGGAGAAGAAGAAGGAAGATGAAAAGGAACAAGAAGGAGGAGGTAGAGGAGGAGGAGGAGACTAGGATGAGGATGAGGATAATAATAATAATGGTAAGGATGATAAAGAGGAGATGGAGGAAGAGATGAAGAAGGAAAAGAAAAAGAACTAGATTTAAATTAAACGTAGAAGTAGAAGAAAAAGATGATGAAGAAAAAAGAAGAAGAAGGAGGAAAAAGAGAGGAAGAAAAAGAAGAAAAAAAGTAAAAAAGAAAGAAGAGGAAGAAGAGTAGGAGGAATAGAAAAATCTAGGAAAGGGGAAAAGATAGGATAACGACATTGTAGGCAGAATATGGAGAGAAACGAGAGAAAGAGGAGGAAAGACGCGGTAGCAAAAAGGAGAGATGAGAAGATATAAGAAACAAGGGGACAAGAAAAGTTTAGAAAAAAATCCAAGGAGGAAGAGCAAGAAAAAAATACATGAATATACATACTCGCGTACACAGATACCCACACACATACACAAACCTCCTGCCCCTACACACACACCACATAGACACACACACACACACACACACACACACACACACACACACACACACACACACACACACACACACACACACAAACACACACACACACACACACACACAAAATCACTAGAGCCTAATATATATATATATTTACATTCGAGAGAGAGAGAGTGAGAGAAAAAAACTTTATTGCATTTAACTTACACAGAAGTTAGCTGCCTAAAAAAACTTTATGTATCTTATCGATATTAGGCATATTGAAATATATATTTGAAGAGTAGCATATATTACTAGCGCCCGAGGCCAGCGAAGTAGGAGGAGGAAGAGGAAGAGGAAGAGGAAGAGGAGGAGGAGGAGGAGCAAGGAGGAGGGGGAGGAGGAGTAATAGAAGTAATAGTAGTAGAAGGAAGAGGAGGAGGAAGAAGGGGAGTAGTAGGAGTAAGAAGGGGAATAGGAGGAGGAAGAGGAGGAGATGGAGGCAAATGAGGAGGAAGAGGAAGATGAAAAGCAGAAGGAGGAGGAAGAGGAGAAGGAAGAGGAGGAGGATGAGGAGGAAGCAGAAGAAGACGAAGAAGAAGAAGGAGACGCAAAGGAGGAAGAAGAGATGAAAAAAATAGAAAGAGGAAATGAACGAAGAGGAAATTGAGAAGGAGGATGAGGGTCGAAGTATCTGCTCCTTCTCGGGGCACAAAAAATGCGTCCGCGAAGAAGGAAGACCCGCGGGGAGAAGGCGCTGATGCTGAGAATGAGAGAGATAAGAAGTATGGGAGTAGGGGGGGGAGGGGGGAAGGAAGTGGGGGGGGGCAGGGAGGGGGGGGAAGGAAGGTGGGAGAGGGGCAGGGAGGGGAGGAAGGAAGGAGGGGGGGGCAGGGAGGGAGGGAAGGGAAGGAGGAGGGGGGGCAGAGGAGGGAGGGAAGGAAGGAGGGGGGGCAGGAGGGAGGGAAGGGAAGGAAGGGGAGGGGGGGCAGGGAGGGAGGGAAGGAGGGGGGGCAAGGGAAATGGAATGGAGAGGGAATGGATGATAATGATAATAGCAGTAAAAAAAAAAAAAAAAACGAAATGTGATGTGACGATTGACGACAGCAATAAATTCCGCAACAACGATATTAATGATGATGATGATGATAATAAGAAAGGTAATAGTAATGATGATAATAGCGATAACGATAATAGGAATCATGAAAATGATAGTATAGCAATAATGATAACAACAATGATTATTCTAATAATAAGATACAGATGGTAATATTTATGATAATGATAATCAATAGCAAAAATAATAACGATAACAATGATTTTAATGTAATGAGGATAATAATGATAATAGTAACTGCCATAATGATAACAATCATTATCATCATGATTACAAAATTCATAGTGATAAATATGGTAACAGATAGAACACTCTTTCCGTTCAAAATGACGATGATGATAA